GGAGAGTGCTACTGGAGGCAAAAATGACAATACTGAAGTTGTCCTACTTCGGGCATATCGTGAGAATGTGGGTTTCTTTGGAAAAGACAATAATGCTGCGAAAAATAGAAGGCAGCAGGAAAAGAGGAAGACCAAGTATGAGATGTTTGACTCCATAAAGGAAGCCATAGGCTTGAGTCTACAGGAGCTGAGCAGGGCTGTGGAGGACAGGACACTGTGGACATCGCTCATTCATAGTGTCGCCAGAAGCTGGAACTGATTCCACAGTATGTAACACACACAGTAACACTACAACAACTTTCTGTGTCGGGAAAATTTATGACTTATTAGTATATTTGCATGCTAATGTAGTTCCAGAAAACATCTGAAGCACAGAACAAAGGCCCATAGTACAAAACAAGATAAAATGAATTCAAAATTGGGGAGAAAAGTGAAGCGAAGGTAAACAAACTTAGAAAAGAAGATGGAGCAAGGAGTAAAGTACACAAAATACATTCATCTCCACTGAAGATGGGTCACACATTCATCTCTAAGCTGTCTAAGAACCAGTGTCAGGAGAAAAATTACAATGAAGTTAGTTATTCACAGTATTCATAAAACAAAAGCGAATCAGCGCCCCGAGAAAAGAGCGTTTATTCCAGTTCTAAGACCAGAGACAAATTTCCCCATGGGTCCTCATAGAAATGGCACAGTGACTATATTGAAACACGTCCTCAAAGGAAGAAATCCTCACAGTAAATTCAGCAATGGGCTTCTAAGTCTGGTGTATATAAGATCCCTTCATGCCAAGTGGTAAGGAGATGCCAAGCACTGTTCAGGGATAAAGATTCAGTCTTAGAATACTGTTCAGGAAGGGTCTAGCCTAATCGAGGAATATAAGGAGAACTGGAAATTAAACCTAGCCCCCTTGCGTAATAATTTTATAAGGAGTTGAATGTCTTTAAGAACTGTTTGATGGATTCAGTAATAATTTACTCCAAGTGCATAACTGTTATTCTCAAGTAAATCCCATTTTTCTTAATTATAAGCCTAAAGTGGAAAGTCTAACACAAAAACTGTTATAGCATAAGCAAACACATCTCCATGGACTGTATTAACCATGTAGTGGCCAGACCACTGTCTGGAGGAACAGAACGCCTTTTACTGGATTCCTGCAGTCTCATCTGAATGGTAGAAATATAGTAGCAGCTTTATATGCACTGATCAGCAATAACAGGCCTGGTCATAAATCAAGATTTCAACTAGTCCTTATTTGCACAATTCTTTACAACCATCATATATAATGCATATGATACTCTCAAATATCTCTTGTACTTTTTGCTTCTACTCCAACAAAAAAAGGATTTCTTCTTAGAATGATGCATAAAATTCATTTTCAAAATCCCCTTCCTCATTTAAACTATATCTTTCCCTAAGTAATTAAATTAAACTCTTTAATAATTTAGTATCCCAGTTATAGAAACAAGCAGGAAATGCTATAGTGAATTTAAAAAAAACCTGTTCAGAGTAATGATAACAAGTATCATTGCAAGTTAAGTCAAGATCCAGGTAGAACATAAATGTAACATGAATCGTTGAGCTTCAAATTAAGAAATGTTAGTTTTTGTGTTCACCTTGTAAAAATATATCTTACCTATGCTTGGCGATTTTCAATGGCAAATAATTATATTATGAGTTAATCTAAAAAAAAAGTGAATCATCCTTACACTTACACTGAGATTAAGCAATAAAGTTGGAATTAGAAACATGAAATGCTTTTAAGAAAAAACAAAGTATTTGAAACTAATGAAACAAATTAAGAGTAAAACATACAGCTTGATCTTCAGGTAAGCACTTTTTTTTGAGGGGGCAAAACTTTTCTTCTGGTTGGTCATCACTAAATCATTCTGAAAGCTGGCAGAACATTTTCCAACCCTAACTGCCACAGTGGAATCACATTTTCTCCTTACCTGAAACAAGGTGCTTTTTCCCTACAAATGTAAAATTTCAAATAAAAATTACCATGGACTTCTGACTTTACAGTAGCAAGAAATTCTAAAAACTTAAGACCATAGGAAACTTGTTAACTCGAATTTTTCAGTGTAGGATACAAATATACAATTTCTTTACTAAACAATTTGTTTTTAAACAAACTCTAACCTAGTCCTTAAAAACCTAATATAGTAGCTGTTGAAGGAAATGACAAATACTGCACTTGACTTTTTAGATATACTAGATATACTGTTCTATGTAATGTAATTTCAGTCTCCAAAGACTCATGTGGGTCTAGAAAGTACATTGCTCACTCTATGATATACATCCTACTCACTACTTAAAATAATTGGATTTTACTTTTAAAATATAACTTTGGAGTAAATCTCATGTCCCTAAATATGTTTTTATTTTGTACCAATCCATGAAATGTCTTATTTCTCTTAATATTCATTTTATAGCAAAAAAGTATCATACTGAATCAAAAGCTTCTCTAGGATGATTCATATTTTTCTTGCTAGCTATTATGACTGAATTTAGATTGTTAGACTATGTGTATCAGAAATTTTGTGTGATGCCTGTTCCAGAATTCTATTCCTGTATAACAAACTACCCCAAAACTTAGCAGCTTGAAACAACAATTTCTTTTCTCTTATAGTTCTGGAGGCTGACGGGTTCAGCTGGGCAGTTCTTATTGAAAGTACCTCATATAGGTGTTGGTGAATCATGGCTTTGCCTGGAGTCACCCAAAGACTTCTTTACTCATATATATGATGCCTGGCCTAAGGGATGGCAGAAGGAGCTGGGGCTGGTCAGGTATATGGCATATTTCTCCCCTCCTCCCCCCATGGGGCTTCTCTACATGGTTACCCTGGGCTTCCTCATAGTCCTGGCCTTCTTACAGTGGGCTACTTACTTCAACTGTAAGCAGTTGGACTTCTTACGTGGTGACTGACTTCTAACAAAACATCCCAAGTTGCCTAAATGGAAACAGCAGTGCTTTTTATAAGTCAGTCTCAGAAGTCTCAGAATGTCACTCTGCTGCATTCTATTGGCCAAGCAGGTCACTAAGGCCAAGAGGGAAGTAAGACCCCACCTTTCATTTGAAAGAGTTACAAAGAAATTATAGCCATCTTTAATTTACCACAATACCTATTCAAAAACAAAATATTGGCAGATTTCTTTAAACTTTTTTTTTCCTCCACAGTGAATTTAAGAGATCAATAGTTAATAAAAAACCCCTAAACTCAGGGCATGTTAGTTAGCTAATTTATTAATTGATTACTGATTAACAATTAAGAAAAACAATATAAAAACTCATATAAGATTTGTCTTTGTGCTCAGTGTGGCCCTTTGACAAAAACATTCCTTTTAAGATAAATATTTTAAATTACACAGCTAAATTCCTGAATGTATAGATTGATGGGGAGAAACTCTGTTCTTCTCATGGCAGATGATTTCCCCAAATAAAGCAACGTTACTTCTAGGTGTCTGTTCCAAATTTATTACTGCCCCAAATTTAATGGCTTGAAAGAACAATCATTTTATTGTAAATCACAAATCTGTAGATCAGCATTTTGGGCTAAACAGGGCAACTCTCTATAAAATATTTGACTGGCAGCTGAACTGGGCTGGGGGGTCCTAGACAGCATTACTCACATGCCTGACACCTCAGCCAACCTCCACCTCCTTTGGGTGAATTCTTAAGGGTTTGTGTGGTTTTTTTTAGCAGACTAGTCAAACTTCTCACTTGAAGGCTCAGGGTTCCAAGGGCAAGTCTTTCAAAAGACATAAAAGGAAGCTGCCAATATCATAAGGCCTGTGCAGGACATTGGCACAGCGTCACTAATGCCAAGTTCTCTTGGTCAGAACAGTCACAGAGAGTCAGTCCATCCAGATTCAGGGAGAGAAGGCAGAGACCCCACTTCTTGACAAAAAAATTTGCAACCATCTTTCATTTGCCACAGGGCCCATAAGGATGCAGGTGAAGCACATAAAACTCAGGTTACCAGGGCCCTCACCACTTTCCCAGCCTCAGCTATCACTGGCTTCTTCCCACTATCAAAGGCCACCAGGAGCACACCTGTAACTGAACCAGCCGGGTTCGTTTCCCACACGGTAAATGAACCTGAATACGAGCGACGGCGGACATCCCAGCAGCGCGCTGGGAGCTGTAGAATGTGGACTTATTTTCCGTGACTCTGGCTGTCTTACCAAATCTTAGGAAGAAGAAGGACCAGTCCAAGACTAAGGTTGCGGTCGATAAGGAGGCAGGAGTCATCCTATGCGCCTGGATAACGGCGACGTTTGCCATCTCTGTGACTTGAACAGTGTTCATGTTTTGTCTGCGCTCAGACACGATAATACGGTGACTTCACCCTGCTCTCGACCCGTCCCTGACACAGGGTAATCTGCCGCTGTTGCTGCTCTGGCGGGAGCACGCTGATCCCGTCCAGGTGAGCTCGGGCCTCAGGCCGCGTCTCTCTCCCGCACCCCACCTGCCCCGCGAGTTTCCTCTGCCCTCCGGGGGACTGCTGCTCCGCCCCGTTCCCTGCAGACTCGGGAGTCCTCCCGTAGCACTCCAGTCTTCTCTCCCGCATCCTCTGTACCGGCGGTTTGGGTGTCCTCGGATGGGATCCCAGCACACACCTGCGCGCTGGCAGGTTACAGCGAATCACAGGCCCGCAGTACCTTAGAAACTAAAGAAAAGGAAGGGGTTTGTTTTCTTGTCCCAAAAACCAGAGCACGAGTGGTGAAACTGCTTCACTAAATTAGTAAAAATCGTTCTGGAAAACAGCCCCCAGGAGCATTGTCAAAAGCGGGACGAGAACTCAGGTCTGAAGGGATCAGCCGCTGATCATAGGAAGCAACGCAGGTTCTGGTCTTCCCTGAGCCTGGCTCAGGACTACATTTCCCATAATCCTCCAGGGCCAGCAAGGGGAACTACAACTCCCACAATGCACGGCGCCAGCCACTTAACGCGATTTCTGAGCGTTCCGCCCTATTTCCCGTCTTCCTTTTCGGCCCCTGCAGGCAGGGAACAAGGTCGTGGGAAAAAGGACTTGGTGTGGTATCGCCATTTCTTCTGCTTCCGGCTTTTGCGCCTTTCGCAGAGCTTCCGACAGCAGAATGTTGGGACAGAGCATTCGGAGGTTCACGACCTCTGTGGTCCGTAGGAGCCACTATGAGGAGGGTCCAGGGAAGGTTAGTGCGTGCGGGGCCCGGGCTCGCTGGGGCGGGGAGCACTTAGCTGCGACCCTCTGAATCTCCGAGGCCGCCTGTGGGTCCAGGACAGGGAGGTGGTAAGCCCGGAATTTGGCCTGGGACCCCGGTAGCGTACCCCTGCCCCCGTGGGCCGGGGAGAGAGCTGGGGCCCTGGCGCGCGCCTTCGTCGGGGACAGGAGTGCGGAGGCGGAGCTGCAGGCCCCGCGCACCTCGCGCACCTGGGCGGCTGTGGAGGGGTCGGGCGCTGTGGTGTCCGCAGGCCCCGCGGAGGTGACGGGACTCGGCGCGGAGGTCATTGGGGACTCCTGCACACGTGAGCGCCTGTTGTGAGTCGAATCCGCGCTAGCTGCTCAGTTATAAGTGTCACCCCTCCTCGGTTGAGGTTGGGGTGAGCCTCAAGTATAAGGAGCCCCCCGAGGGTTACGCGGGGCCCGGTGGTGACGGGCTGGGAAACGGTTTTGAGGGGAGGGCTGCTTGGTCATGAAAAAGGCGAACTTCGTAGTGCAGTTAACCTTGACCTTTGCCTCCTTTAATAAGTGTCCAGCTTTTAACAGATAAACTAGAACTATGTTTCTAAAATTGCATTCGGAGAGTATTTTCGATTTTCTGAAATAAAAGCGGAAGTTCACTATTTTACACCTGAGTTCTTAAAACCACTTCCTGGTGCTCAGTAAAGCCATATATATA